GTTGGTAGCATTATGTATTCTCTATGCCAGCATGAAGCACCAGACCCCCGATCAGAGGCACCGTGTGTTCATTGTGTGTGTTTGATTTGTGGGGCCCTGTCCTGGGTAGAATGGAGTTTATTTAACAGTGTATTTATCTTGATGTGTAACTTCTGAATATCCGGACATAGGCTATGCGGGCCTCCATTTGCCCTCTTGCCCTGGGAGCTGCAGGATTGGAGGTGGTCTGAAGTTGGAGGTACAGATCTATGAGTCACTAACATAGATGTGGATATCACACAGAGAAAGTGTGAAGAGGGAGGAAAAGTGAGCAAATTGGATGGCTGCTAACATTCCACTTTTCCTTACAGTATATGCTTCCTTCTCTGCCCCACTCTACCTCCTTCCTCTTCTCTGATTTCTCACTCATTCCTTTTACCAATTCCTTTTTAGTTTCTTCCTTCCCATGTGTCATGACTCCCATTGGCATCACAAGCATCCACCATCCCTAACAGCAACTGCTACCTGGATGGCTGGATGGATAGATGCTTGAGGGAGGGGTAAGGACACTGCATCTTGAATGAATCCATTTTGGGGGAAATAACAAATGTAGGTAGTGAACATTCCATGGGTGAGATTACCTCTAAGGTGTGTGCTGGCAGGAAAGGAGCATACTTTACAGGAAGCTTATTTTGAGGGGCTGTTTCCCTTTCTAAGTTTGTCTTTATCTTATTTAGAGTAGTTGAGCCTTCATGCTGTTTAACCTCAAGCTATACTCACTCAAGACCTTCAATCTTAGACCCACAGCCAGTCACGTTAAAACAAAATCTCTTCCTTGGCTTAGAGCGAGATGTTCAGAATGTGATGGAACAAAGATTATTGCTGATACGGCTAAAGTGTTGATGTTTTGTTGGGTCTATCTCTGTTTAGTTTGGGAAGACTTTTTAGAAGAGGTGAGTTTTTTTGTGGCCTTTGACTGTTTAGAAGACTAAAATGGATAAAGCAATGTGATATGTATTGATATTCTAAAGCAAATGAAAATTGTACTAAAAGAGTATTACAGCTTTGGCTAGCTTGAATATCATGTGCATCTAGTTAGCAATAGAATTTGCCTTAGCTTCTTATCATGATTTTATCAAATAAAATGCAGAAAAGTGAATATTATAAAACTCTTCACACAGCTGAATGAGGCTGTGCGCAACCTCTGGTAGAATCATTCTGAAGTGGCTGATTTTGTTTAACCATAGGCTGGTAAAACTAATCTTGAGAACCTTTTAGCTCAGTAAAGACTCTTATGTCATTGACCCAGCTTCAAAAGGTGAGCTAATTACTGTGCTAGGAAAGGACACACATCACTTTCAGGGGAGGTAATACCTCTGCCCACAGAATATCCAAAATGTAAATTAGCAAGTAACAGTAAGTGAAATAAAAATATAGTCCAGTTAAATGTCATGCTGTCATGTTAAACCCAGAGTCCCACAGTTAAATGAGGTTAGATGGTGACACTGAAAGTGCTAGGAAATTAGCAGCTGTGTGGTTTCTATGGCGTGATGCTCCTCTATTCGGCCAACTCTGCTGAAGTTGGTGGAGGGGATCCCACAATTATCACAGGGAGAATGACTCTCAGATGATGCTCAGAATTGGGGAATAAATTCTGTAGATAGCCCAGGCATTTTTCTCCTTCTCTCTTGCTACTTGCCCTGGTTGCTTTACTGACAATCACTGTGGGAGGCTGGGGAGGGAAATTTTTGAAATAATAAGTCTCATAATAACAGTTACTATTTTCTTGAGAACTATGTGCCAGGCATTGAACGAAGCATTTCATATTCATTGTTTCATTTAATCCTCACTAAATGAGGGTGGGGTACAGCGTTCCTGTATCTGTAAGGTATGGTTGGAAAAACTGAGATTTAGGGAGGTGAAGAAACTTGCCCAAGGTTGCGTGATGGCAGAGCCTAGATTCAATCCAAATCAGCCTGATAGTAAAGCTTGGACTCTTAACCGTGTGCTATACTCTACTATTCCCATTACATGGGGTGTGGGTGAGGGTTGATAAAATTGGGGCGTGGGTAGCAAATCAAAACCACAATGAGATACTTCACACCTACTTGGATGGCTATAATAAAAAAGTTTTTTGTTGTTGTTAAAAAAAAAAAACCCACAGAAAACCAACAAGTGGTAGCAAGGATGTGGAGAAATTGAAACCCTTGTACATTGCCGGTGGGAATGTAAAATGCTGCAGCTGCTGTGGGAGACAGTCTGGCAATTCCTCAAAAAGTGAAACAGGCTGACCACACAATGGAGCAATTCCACACCCAAGAGAACTGAAAACATACGTTCGTACAAAAACTTGTACACATATCTTCATAGCAGTGTTATTCGTAATAGTCAAAAAGTGGCAACGACCCATATGTCCATCAGCTGATGAATGGATGAACAAAATGTGGTAAATCTACAGAATGGAATAGTATTCAGCCCTAAAAAAGGAATGAAGTACTGATATGTACTACATCATGGAAGAACCTTGAAAGTATTATGCTAAGTCAAAGAAGCCCAATATGAAAGACCAGCTGTCGTATGATCTATGTATATGAAATGTCCAGAATTGGCAAATTCATTGAAACAGAAAGCAGATTAGTGGCTACTGGCAGCTGGGGGGAGGGAGATTGAGGAGTGGCTGCTAATGGATATGGGGTTTCTTTTCGGACCAATGAAAATGTTTTGAAATTATATACTGGTGATGATTGCACAATGTAGTGAATACTAAAATCCACTGAAATGTACCCTTTAAAATGGTGACATTTATGTGAACTGTATGTTTTGTTTTGTTTTGTTTTTTAAAGGCAACTTCAGGTCAGATCTGGGATGTCCTTGAATACTGGACTATAGGGTCCAGGTTTTCTTCTGTGGACAACAGGGAGCCACTGGAAGTTTCTAAGGAGGTTGATGGCATCATAGGAGTCGTGGAGATGTGTAAGGTGCTTAGCACACAGCAAGTGTTTAATAAATATTTGCTCCCCTCCCCCTTCATCCCCCAATTCAAGACAAAGCCACCCTGTCTCCTGTGGAAAAAGAACTCTTCTGTTTGGATCCTAATAGAAAACCATCTGTTTTATTGAAAACCACTCTGGCTCTTGGCTCCCCAGTCGTCTTCCTGAGGGCCTCTAGCCACTCAGTGCTGGGTGAGTTTTAGCATCTTGAAAGCAACCTCCTCCTCTTCCTCTCCTCTTATTCTTTCTTTTTTTTTTTTAATTTGAAATAATGGTTTTCTAAAAGCCCTCATAGATCCTAACTTCACCCAATAAAGTCACCTGCCATATAAATTCTATGCTTCCTTTGTCTCCAGTTCCCCTCCATTTCTTCCTCCTTCTTCCTCCATCTCACCCAGATAGCAAGGAACACAGTCAAAAGGAGTCAGGTCATCTTTGTTTCTAATCCTGGCTCCCCGTCCTGCTGATAATCTGGCTAGACTCATAGCTCAATGATCTTATTTGCATAATGCTGTCATACGCATCTTCAACATCATATCAACACCTAGGGTTCATTTGCAACTAAGTCGCTTATCTGATGCCTGGTACATCAGCTGCAGTCAATAAGTTATAGCTATAGCATCACTATTATTATAGGGTTAAGGGGTAGTGATTGACAGGAGTGCTGACCTTTTTTTTTTTTTTTTTGCTTGGTACGCGGGCCTCTCACTGCTGTGGCCTCTCCGGTTGTGGAGCACAGGCTCCAGACGCGCAGGCTCAGCGGCCATGGCTCACGGGCCCAGCCACTCCGCGGCACGTGGGATCTTCCCGGACCAGGGCACGAACCCGTGTCCCCTGCATCGGCAGGCGGACTCTCAACCACTGCGCCACCAGGGAAGCCCCTGACCTTTCTTTAGTAGAAGTGGGTTTCATCCTTCAAATCTCAAATATTTTAAGGATGCCTTAAAAGCTTTGACATGGAGAACTACTTTAAGTGACAAAATCTGTTTGCCAAAGTCATCTGAAAAATGCCCTAACAGCAGAGGGCTGCTTTTAGTATGAAGTGTGTTACTAAGTGGGGACAGAAGCTCTAGGGGACTTTGAGGTCAGCAAATATCAAGTGAACTACCTCACAGAGCTGTCTCTGGGGATTTCCCACGAGGCCCCGCCCCCGGTTGAGTCACCAAACTCCCCTCTTTGAGTCTTTGACCTGCAGCCCTTGTCAGCTGCAGAACCTCACTGCTCTGAAGATCAAGGAGTAGGAAAGTTCTCCACCATCCCTGCGATCTCAAGGTTTGTCCATTTGGGGCAGATAGATGGGGGGAACCGAGGAGGGATGAGGATGAAGCTTTGTTCCCTTTGTACATTTCTAGACCTTTTCCCTCCTAATTTCTAATAACTTTTATTCCATAGCCCATTAAATAAGGATCAAGAACCTGGCCTATAGAGATTGTTGGACTCTTTAGTTTTATGACTAGATGAGCTTTAAATCTCAAAATGAGCAGATACATGTCTATTAAGAAAATGTGACAATGAGTTGACCAAGGAGGTGTTTCAACATTTTAGCAACTAGGTGTTGAAATTCCACATGCTGTTTGGACAAAGGGAGAATAGTAATAATGAGATGTCTTCTCACTGAGCTGAACTGTTGGATGCCCCTGACAGATTCTCTCTTTAAGGACTATATTTCAGGGGCAACAAGCCACAGGCATTGTTGAAATCTAGATGCTAATGCTAGATATCTATGAAAGTCCCCAAAAGTTCTTGCTATTGTTATTTCTGCATTTCAGCAAAACATGTTGGAAAGTACACTCTTAGACTTTGGCAAATCTACAGAAAGCTATGTGTTGAGTCATGCTTCTCTTATCCTAGAAGTTTCTATGAATTTGCTACCTTTTCCATGGTATTCCATCATTAATTTTTCCTGCAAACCCTGAGTTATGATCGTGTAGAATTGTACAGATGATAGCTGAACTGTAGGTAATTCTGAAAGGAGAAACCACCTCATCCTAGGAAACTTTCACCTTTTGCAGAGTGGTACATGTGAAACCAGCTACTTTGATTAAAATTCTTTTGGAATCTGCTTGGCTAATACGTCTATGCAAGATTTCATCATGGGAAATTGCTATTACAACATAGTGGCTACTGTGCTGTTGGTCATGAATTTCGAGAGGACAAGATCATTGCAGGATTTCTGCAGTAACTGTTCAGCGGGTAAGGACCAAATTAACATGTGTGCTTGATCTGTTCTGCTGAAAACATGGTTCAGTTAGTCTGGTAGTCAGGGCTTATGAGCTCAGTTTTAATGATTTTTTAAAAAAATTGAACTATAGCTGATTTACAATATTGTGTTAGTTTCAGGCATACAGCAAAGATATTTTTATATATATGTATATTACAAGATATTGAATATAGTCCCCTGTGCTGTACAGTAGGTCCTTGTTGTTTATCTATTTTATATACAGTGGTGTGTATCTGTTAATCCCAAACTCCTAATTTATCCCTCCCCCGCAATAATGATCTTTGATTCATTCATTTACAAGAACCTGCATTACATTTCTTGAACGCTACATCTTAGCTGTGTGAATGCAGGCTTGTCACTTAAACTCTTGTGCTCCAGCGTCATCATCTGGGGATGATATGAGAACCTATCTCATAGGATTGATTGCTGGGAGGATCCTATGATGGACTTAGATCAGTGCACGGCACAGGGAAAGACCTCAACAAATGTTAGTTTTGTGTGTGCAGACAGTGTTCAGACTGGGGGGTGCAGCAGGGAATAGCAAGTGGCAGGAGGCTTAACAGAGTGGGAAAAGGCAGACACCTTTCAATTGTGGTGTGCCAATAAAGAACATTGATCTCCTGAATCCAGTCACTGGTGTCCTGGATCAATCATGAGAAATCATTCTGTTTTATTCAATAGGTAAAGGAAACTATTTTCTTTCCATTGATTTTTTTGTTGCAATATCTATACTTTGTTATTTTTAATTCTGTGATTATGCTTAGGGCAATCTTTCAAATGGATAATTTAAAACAGTCAATCAACAAATAAAGTCTATCACTGTGGTACCTAGAAAACGAATCTTTGTTTCATATTCTGGTTTTCTTGTGAACCTCACAATGCTTTGGGTGATGATGGTCCATTGTCAAACATGTACAGCTCTTATCTACCCTTTTTAGGTACTTTCTGTGGGAAAAACAAGCATGAGCTTTGCACTCCTTGTCCTTCAAATAGTTTCTCCAGCACAAGTGGACAAAAGGCCTGTGACGTATGCAGGAAGTGTGAAGGTATGATTTAAAAGATATATTCTTCATCCAGATATGTGTTGGGAAGACAAGCTTTTATTCCCGAGTGTATTGATCTCTTTTGAAAATCTGAAGTGTCAAGTAGGCTGGTTCCTCTGTTAATAGGAAGGTCCAGTAAAATAATTTACTGTAATGGCAACTATTGGTGGATTGAGCTTTTTAAATAGTAGAGGAAATATTCATTAGACAAGAGAGAATTTTTTAATTAGCAAAATGTAAAAAAGTCTTCTATAGATATTTAAAAGTCAACTTTATACTCTGAGACCATTAGGACCATTCTAAGTAGAACAAGCATGGTTTTTATTGCAGAACATAAATTTGCTTCCTGGATTTGGAGATCAAGGGTATTATAACACTGGGGGACTTTGTAGGTGTTTTCAGGACCAAGAAAGCGTGTTCCTCCACCAGCAATGCAGAGTGTGAGTGTGTGCCGGGATTCTACTGCCTGGGAGAAGGATGTAACATGTGTGAAGAGGACTGTAAACAAGGTCAAGAATTAACAAAAGAGGGTAGGTTTCCTCTTCTATCTAGTGCCAATTTGTTGTCTAGTCATATGTTGTTAACTTAGTTCTTGGTCCTTTGATTACAAAATAAAACGTAGATTTGTAGAACCTTTAAGTAATAGTAATGAACTGCTAAGTATCTGATATTTACAAAATTATTTCTCAATCAATGGAAATAATTTGAAATCACAACATTTGTTTTTCGCCAGAACCATGCCTTTTCATGCATCCTATACATGCATATACAATACTCTATGTACAACTAGAATAAAACCTTTAGTCGCATTAAGGTTTCATTTCAAGAAAAACTGTTGGACAATCTATGTAGATTGTATTCAGTTAATGACTTTATCATGGGATTATGTTCATCACAAACTATTCAAGAAGAATTGTTCATCACTAATGAAATTCAGGAAGAAGTGTTAGACAAATTGGTACAGATTTTATTAAGTTAATGACTTTATTATTATGTGATCATGTTCATCACAGAGAAAGTTAAAAATGATTAAAATGCTTCCTTTTTTTATTATTCCTTTAATTTTTACGAAAGGTTGTAAAGACTGTTCCTTTGGGACATTTAATGATCGGGAACATGGTGACTGTAAACCTTGGACAGAGTATGTATCATTTCTTTCTGCTTACAACATAAAGTATCTGGCTTAACTTTTCTAAAGACAAGGAATGTGATCACTGATGCTTTTTTAAACCTATCAAGTGTAGACATAGAATAACATGCAAATAGGTGGTATGGGAACAGTATGGGGTAATTGTGACTAGATTGCCAAAGTGGGCATTTTCTCCAGAAGTACTGCCCAGAACAATGAGGTCAGATTTGCCAGTGGAACTTAGCTACTGTCTGCCCCAGGTGTTCTTCTGTGTCCTTCCAATCTCTTTGCTGCCTCTGACTTTCCCCCAGTGATCAATCCACCTTCAAGTGTTCAGTGCCAGCCTTGATAATGATACAGAAGAGGGTAAAGTATGTTTCCTTCCCTCAAAAGCTTTAACATAGTCTTGGGGAAACAAGACTATCACAGGTAATAAAATAGCCAACAGTGTATCTTGTACACCTTTGTTCTTTTTGCATTTGATCTTCTTACTAGAAAATCATTTTTATCATTATTTTACATTTACATTCTTATTGTGTGTTACAAAAATATTGGTCCATAACAGATTAGAAAGTTGTTTTTGTTGTTTTTTGTTTGTCTTTTGACACAAATAGTTCAGAGCAGGGAAGTGAGTCTGCATGGACAGTGGGATCGAACTGGGTTTTGGAGAATAGGTGGGTTTGTTTTAGATAAAAAGAGGCAGGGGAAAGACACAGGACAATGATGATGGTGATGTTGACAATGATGATGGATGGCTACCGTTTATAGGGAGTAAGTCAGGCACGTAGTGTCGTTTACTCTTCACAACAGCCCTGGGACATGTATATCTTATTTTTCAGATGAGAAAACTGAGGCTTAGAGCGATCTCCCAACTTGCCCAAGGTCATTCTACGAAGGGACTGAGCCAGGGCTCAAACCCTGGTCAGTCTGATGCCAACACATCAGACTGGCCAGGAGTCTCCTAACTAGCCTGGGAGTTAGGAGCTCCTAACCCTAGGCTAACTTGTCTGTCCTTCCTGTGTGCCAGAGATGGTCAAATATGCTTAAGAAGGTGGGGGTGAGAGACTAACCAGGCAACAGCCTGAAGTAAGCTGTCGTGGGACAGGACTCCCCAGCCTGGGAAGAAAGAAGAATCCAATTAGGTAGATAGAGTGGGATGAATTGTGGAGAGCCATGAAAGCCAAGTGAACATTGGTAGAAGCCCAGATGGTCAAGTAGAAGTTTTTCAAAATATCTTTGCTTTGCCTATGAACCCAGATCCACACATCTTTTTCACCAGAACTGCTTTCCTGGGTAGAAAATGTCAGTCTTTTTTAATTAGAATGATCCGTACCTGAATTAATGATTTGAACTCTTTTCATTGGACCATCTAAGCTGTTCTTTGGATGGGAAGTCTGTCCTTGTGAATGGGACGAAGGAAAGCGATGTGGTATGCGGACCGGCATCAGCTGACTTCTCTCCAGGTGCATCCTCCACCATCACGCCTGCCCCTGGGGGAGAGCCAGGTAGCTGGTTTGTTGCTGTTAATTCAAATGAATGTATGTGGCCATTCGGATTGGTGTCTGAGTCACTCCTGATGCCTTGCATCTCTGCCTCTAGCAGGCACCTCGACATGCCTTCCTTCTCTTACCCTGGCTTCAAGGGACCCATCCATTTCTTCGGGTGTTTCTTATTCACTCTGAATTCCACATTAGTAACAGAGCGAGGTGAGACTGCACCCAAACAGACACTACACCTTTGATAACGCCAAGTAATGGCGATTATAGAGTTCCATGTTTCCTATAGGCTAGAAAGGCCAAACCACTTAATTTCTGTGGGCTTCTAGGAAAATGACTAAGGTTGTAAAAAAAGTTTTCTTAGCAAGCAGGCAAGTTTACTAAGATAGCTGGTGGGAGATGCCCAAGGCACGACTTCCCATGCTTAAGGGTTTACAAACGCAAATATAAATATCAGCATATTTGCAAACTTTTATTTTTGTCTGAATTTCTCCTTTTGTTCTGTTTTAAAGGTCACACCAACCGGATCATTATCTTCTTTCTTGCACTGACGTCGACTGCAGTGCTGTTCTTGGCGTCCTTCGTGGTGCTCCGTTTCTCTGTGGTTAAACAGGGCAGAAAGAAGCTTCTGTATATATTCAAACAACGTAAGAGGAACATAAAAGTGTTAGATATGAGCCTTTTAAAAAAAAACAACTATTTATTTATTTTTGGCTGCATTGGGTCTTCGTTGCCGCGCGCGGGCTTTCTCTAGCTGCGGTGAGCGGGGGCTACTCTTCATTGCGGTGCACGGGCTTCTCATTGCGGTGGCTTCTCTTGCTGCGGAGCACGGGCTCTAGGCTTGAGGGCTTCAGTAGTTGTGGCACATGGGCTCAGTAGCTGTGGCTCGCGGGGTTAGTTGCTCCACGGCATGTGGGATCTTCCCGGACCAGGGCTCGAACCCGTGTCCTCTGCATTGGCAGGTGCATTCTTAACCACTGTGCCACCGGGGAAATTCATTATGAGCTTTTCGAGGCTAGGCTTTTTACAGTAGAAAGAGAAAGCTGATTCGTTTTAAGTTACAGAAGCTAGGTTAGTATAGCACAGTGGTTATCAAGTGGGACAATTTGGCCCCCAAGGGGACATTTGGCAATGCCTGGAGACAGTTCTGGTGGTCACAGCCTAAGCGGTGGGGTAGGGAGTGCTTTGCTCCTGGCATCTAGTGAGTGGAGTTCAGCAATGCTGCTAAATTTCCTACAATACACAGGACGGCCCCACAACAAAGAGTTAGCCGCCCCCAGATGTCAGTGATGCTGACGTGGAGAAAGCCTGGTGATGGCAGTACATAATCCAAAGGTTCCAGAAAAATGACCACTTTAAGTATGCTGCAGCCTTGGGCCACTGTGTGTGTGTGTGTGTGTGTGTGTGGCCACTCAGCTGTGGATACAGGACACTGACAAAGAGGAATCAAAAATAACGTTGCCCCTTCTCGCACTTCTCCTCTGGCTGATGAATGGCCTTAACCTGAACTAGACCCACAGCTAGAAGAAGGCCTAGAGAACAAGAAGGGAGCTTAAAGTGGGTCTAATGAGATGAATTATTAGGACACTGATCTGGATTAAATGAGAAATTTCAATAATGGATGCCATTCATGAAGCCAGATAGTATTTCTATAAGGAACCGGGCAAGTGCCTGGCACAGGGTCAATACTCACTAAATGAACGCTATTAACATTTATTCCAAAAGGCTTAGAGATGGGGGCAATCTGCATTTTTCTTTTCTTTTTTTTTTGCGGTACGCGGGCCTCTCACTGTTGTGGCCTCTCCCGTTGCGGAGCACAGGCTCCGGACGCGCAGGCTCAGCGGCCATGGCTCACTGGTCCAGCCGCTCCGCGGCATGTGGGATCTTCCTGGACTGGGGCACGAACCCGTGTCCCCTGCATCGGCAGGCGGACTCTCAACCACTGCACCACCAGGGAAGCACTGCATTTTTGTCTTTGTGGAGAACAGAACCATAGATAGCAGGCTAGACTTACTAAGAGGGATTCATGTATAGGAGGAGAGCTCTGTGATGTAGCCCAAGCCACCATAAGACTAGAGAGTGTCAGTTTGTGGGTTGTTAAAAATATAGGAGGGGAAGTATTAGTAAAGTCTTATCTAAAGATGCAGTACATTAATTTGTATAGTTTCTTTCTGAAAACAATATAAAACTTTTGAACATTTTGAAATATACAGGAAAATGCATAGGCATAAAGTTTAACAAACTGTAAGATGAACACATGTGTAACTCTACCCAGGTCAAGAAACAGAACATACTCTGCTCCCCGGAAGCGCTTCTTGTGTTCCTTCCAGATGAAAACCTTCCTTCCACTAGTGCTAACCACAACTAGATTCTTACGGTGTTCACTTCCTTGCTCTTATTTATAGTTTTGCTACCTAAGAACAGGGTTTAATTTGGTTGCTTGTGAACTTCAGACAAGTGGAATCACGCTGTATCTGTTCTACATTTTCCTTCCCCTTTTCACTCAACTTTGTATCTTTATGATTCATCCACGTGTGGCATTTATCTTTAGTTGATTTCCAGTGTTGAATACTCTTCTCTTGAATGACTGTATCATAGTTTGTTTACCCATCTTAATATTCCTGGACACTTGGGTTGTTTCCAATTTGGGGCTCTTACAGACAGTGATATTTGAATATTTTTGTCTACGTATCTCAGTACACATAAGCACATGTTTCTGTTTTTGTTTTGTTTTTAACCTGCGAATAAAATTGCTGGGACATGAGGAATATGTATCTTGGTCCTTAGTACTAGATTTACCAAACTGTTTTCCAGAATAATAGACCTCATTTACACTTTCACAGCAGCATATGAGAGTTCTTTTTGCTCCAACCCTTGCTACTACCTAGTGTCATCAGACTTCTTAATTTTTATCTGTCTGGTGGGTGTATTGTAGTATCTCGTGGTTTTAATTTGCATTTCCCTGATTACTAGTGAGATTGGACATCTTTTCATGTTATATTTGTCATTTGGATTTCCTCTCTTGCAAAGTGCCTGATCTTTTGAGCCTTTTCCCACTGGGTTGTTTGTCCTTTTCTTATTAACCTATAGGAATGTTTTAGTCTACTGTTCATGTGCTGCAAATATATTTTCCGACCCTGTGGTTTGACTCTCTTTTTGAGGTCTTTGACTCTCTTTTTGAGGTCTAACCCTCTGATTTAAGCTTTAAGTTCTCACTGAAACCTCTGTTTTAAACAACTATCCCTCCCAGCTTTACCCCAATCTACAATAAAGGTCTTTATAAAATGATTTTCAAAAGTACTTATGAGTAATTAGTGAGTTTCAATGGAACAGTAATCCATTTAAAAAATTTTTAGGTTATTTTTAAAAACTTTCTATTTTGAAATAGGGATTCACAGGAAGTTGTAAAAACAGTACAGAAAAGTCTGATGTGCCACTCATGGGGTTACACCGTACGTAACTACAGTACAATATCAAAACCAGGCAACTGACATTGGCACATGGCGTGTGTTTAGTTTACTGTATGTCATTTTATCACATGTGTAGTTTGGTGTAAACCACTAGCACAATCAAAATACAGAACTATTCTATCGCCACAAAGGTCTCCTCCTGCTAGTGCTTTATACTCCAAACACTCCCTTTCCCCCACCATCCCTAACCCCTCCTAACTACAGATATGTTTTCCATCTCTGTAATTTTGTCATTTCAAGAATGTTATATAAATAGTATCATACGATATATAAATGGATCATAAATAAGAGACCTTTTAAGACTGGCTTTTTCCCCTCAGCAAATGCCATTGAGATCCGTCTGAGTTGTGTTTCAATAGTTGACTCTTTTTTTATTGCTGACTAGTGTTGTAAGGTGAGGTTGTACCACAGTGTGTTTTACCATTCACCTATCGAGAGACATTTTGGTTGTTTCCAGTTTATGACTGTTACATTAGAGCTGCTATGAATAATCAAGTACAGATCTGTGTGGACATAAGTTTCCATATCTTTAAGATAAATGCCCAGGAGTGCAATTACTGGGTCATATGCTAAGTGTGTATTTAGTTTTTTAAGAAACTGCTAAACACTTTTCCAGAGGAGTTGTACCATTTAACATTCCACCAGCAACGTAGGAGAGTTTCTCCTCATCTTCACCAGCAGTTTGTATTGCAGCAATTTTTAATTTCAGCTGTTCTAATAGGTATGTACTGATATCTCACTGTGGTCTTAATTTTCCTTTCCCTAAGGGTTGAACATCTTTTCATGTACTTATTTCCCATCTGTATATCTTCTTCAGTGAAATGTTCCTTCATGTCTTTTACCCATTTTCTAACTGGACTCTTTGTTTTACTTTTGACATTTGAGAGTTTTTTATATCTCCTCGATATGAGTCCTTTATCAGAGGTGAGGTTTGTAAGTATTTTCTCCCAGTCTGTAGCTTGCCTTTTCATCCTCTTCACATGATCTTCTGCAGATAAAAAGTGTTTAATTTTGATGAAGTCCAATTGGCCAATTTTTTTCATTTATGGGATTATGCCGAAGAACTCTTTACCAAGTCCTAGGTCCCAAAGATTTAGACTTTCTCCTATGTTATCTTCCAAATGTTTTAGATTTAAATCTATGCTTCATTTTTAGTTAAGTTTTATATAAGGTGTGAGAGTTTCAAGTCAATATTTTAAATTTATTTTATTTTTTTTTTTGCTGATGGGTGTCCAACAGCTTCAGCATCATTTATTGAGAAGATTATCCTTCCTCCATTGAATTGCTTTTGCACTTTTGTCAAAAATCAGTTGGCTGTACTTGTGTGGGGACTCTTTCTGGTTTCTCTCTTCTGTTCCACTGATATGTGTGCTTTACCTTCTGCCAATACCACACAGTCTTGGTTACGGTAGCTGTAAAACAGTCTTGAAATTGGCTATAGGGTAGAGTGAGTCCTCCCACGTTATTCTTCTTTTTCAAAATTGTTTTGGCTATTCTAGTTTGTTTGCATTTCTATACAAATTTTAGATAATCTTATCCCTATCTGCAAAAAGTGGGCTGGGATTCTGACAGCAATTGTGTTAAATCTGTATATCAATTCAGGGAGAATTGACATCTTTACTATGTTAACTATTCCAATCCGTGAACACAGTATGTCTCTCCATTTATGTATATTTTCTTTGATTTCTTTCATCAGCATTTTGTGGTTTTCAGCATACAAGTCCCACACATGTTTTGTTAAATTTAGGCCTTAGTATTTACATTTAACAATTGCAGATGATATGGTATCTTAAATTTTGGTTTTGACGTGTTCATTGCTAGTATATAGAAATACAGTTGGTTTTTGTAGTTTGATTTTGTGTCCTGTGATTTTGCTGAACTTGCTTACTAGTTCTAGGTTATTTTGTAGATTCCTTGGGATTTTTTACATAGACTGTAGTGTCATCTGCAAAAAAAAAAATAGCTTTATTTCTTTTCATTTCCCGTCTATATGCCTTTTATTTCTTTTCTTGCCTTATTATTCTGGCTAGAATGTCCAGTACTATGTTGAATAAGAGTGGCGAGAGGGAACATCTTCGCCTTGCTTCTAATCTTTGGGGAAAAGCATTCAGTCTTTCACCAGTAGGTATGATGTGAGCTACAGATCTTAAGTAGATATTCTTTATCAAGTTTAGAAA